ACGTACGGTGTTGCGGACGTAGAGAAAGTCCAAAGCGCCAATTGCGACCTTATTTTAACGAGAGGCCACCGTTTTAAAGGAATAGCCTTCCACCTCTAATTCTTCATGCCAAGTTGCCTACCGTTAGCACCACTTACCGAGGAGTGTGCGTAGAGGTCTTACTAAGCTAGTTATTCCATGGTGCTTGCGACCGAAGTATCTGGACTTACAACATGCACTTTATGCACTCCGTGCGACGTATTTTTTCTATGTTCGAAGATGTTGCGGCATCTGTGATCTCGTAAAGCAGACGCCCACAATTTTTCTGGCTCCGGATATCGCTTCCAGCAGCAGCGGGCACTCTTAGCGTTGCAGCAAATGTCCTAAGTTCAAAAACCCTATACGATGGCGCAACTAGTATTTATGTTCCTCGTCTTCGCATTCGCGCATTGGTAGTCAATGAGTCGTATTTTACGATGGGTGGAAATAACACTATAAGGCTCTTTACATAGCCGTGGCGCAGTTATAGCCTGAGATGTTTGATTTTGACTTCAATCACCCTTCAGTGCGGGCTCTTCTACAAAGCATAAGCAAATATTGAACGCTGATGCTATCCGAGATATAGGCGCTAGATCAATTGATAGACTTCAAATAGTTCGCGATTAGTTGTCTCAGCATCGTGAGATCGAGAACAATTAGTTCAAATATCTCATAGGAACGCGTAGGAATTGATAAAAAAAAAAAAAAAATGTTGTCTTTTGGTAGACAGAACTTTTCGTAGGCGAATTAAGCACTGTGGAGAAGGATTAAAGCAAGCAATGTTTTCGTAATTTAACTTATAAATAGCATTTTTTTCGGCTTTCTTTGAAAATATAGTTTGAAAAAAGGTAAAAAATATTTATGATCATTAATGTATATACGTGCGATGACTATTGGCACTGCTTGGCGATAACTATATATAATATTTGGCATTGTTTGTTTAGTTGTTTATGGCTGTTTAACAAAAAGTGTTACTTAGACTATTTGGGTTGTTTTCTAACAGATCCAGAATGGTTTATCTTTATTGTATCTAAACTGTAATATACCAATACTCTACATAAACGAGGTAGCACCGATATCACTGTTAGTACGTTTTCAATGACAGTAAGCGATCCATCTCTATAGAATTGAACGTAAAGTAATACATGTACTGATCTGGCGGACGTAAAATCTGTTTCATCTCCTTATTAGCTGATCCTCAGTAACAGGACGAGATGATATAGAATTTTATAATTTGGATTGCTTGACGCTGTTAATAGACCAATTTTTCTAACAACAGCTCTCTGTCTTGTATTCAAGTTTTCCGGTAAGTTCAATTTTTAACTTTTACTTTCCCTCTCAAGCCTACTACAGAAATTCTCAACAAATGATCACCTCGTACTTGTGCTTTAACGGAAGTCGTCCAATTTATTGGTGCTTAAACTAATAAATGAAAAGCCAGCTACATCGTAAAGATAGAAATCGGGAATGGATCGCGGCCGTAACGGGCGAAAGTGATAATACGAGGAATATCAGACCCTATAATAATCATTACTGACTAGCGTTAAGGTTAGGAAACTATTTAGATAAGAGGCTCGACATTGAGCCCACTGGCAAAGACGATAGGTTTGCGTTACTATGTAATTGTACTTCATACTTATATTGGCACTCGTGACGAAGCGCGTAATATCTCGTTTCCTAAAAGACACATTTACATTCGCGGACGCAGCTCGCGTAATAACATGTATACAATTAATTCATTCAATTTAGGTTTGTTGCATTTAATAGGATGAAATCTAGACAGTTCGATGGACGATAGTGTTGAATTGGAAGTGAACTTTGTGATGTTAACCATGAACACAAAGTAGCTGACGGGTAGGTACATAAAAAAATTCGAGGATACTATGGACCTTGCTAGCTTCCCTGTGACATTTGTTCAATTTATTTGCTTCATTACCGTTTTCTGGAAATTATGAGACTATTAATGTTCTTATAAAAGCCTACAGGTAAATGTATATTGGATATATGTACTGGATTTGTAGTTCTCAGACGGACGTCCGCAACTAATGCTCGTAATGCCGTCGAAATATTCCCGGATGTTTTTTCAGAGCTGATTCCAGAAACTCCCTGTAGGGTAAATCAGAAGCAGTAATATAAACTGTTCGTTAGTGAATGTCATGGCTTGTTATAGTTGAGAGATCTGGAGTGTAGCGATGCGGCTTTTTGAGTTTCCACTTCAATTGAATCTCTTGAGGGTTTTACGCATCATATCGCTTGCGCGGACGAAGTAAATGTATTGTTGCGGATCCTACACGGAGTGTTGGTGTGCTTTCCTAGAAAAATGCTCGGGGGTCTCAAGTGAAGAATAGAGATTACAGATGAGGTTCGACATTCTGACAAATCATTGACGGAAGCTTCATAGATTCACACAGATTGCTCGTTTCCCAGACGACGAATTCTGTCACGCGTTTTGATCATTGACAGCATAATCCTTAATAGACAAGTGATGCGGCGTTAGTTTATACCGCTACTAATGCAGATTTTACATTTGCGTCTACAGAAATTAATTGCTTTCCTCAAAATACTGAAAATGCTACGAAAAAGTGTGCCTGTCTTGTTTTAATGATGAGTTTCATGCTAGTGCATAAATGGGAGCAACGTAAACGCTCCAGCGGAAAGTGCTCCGTGAATCAATAATGTCCACTTTGTTCCTCTTTTTTGTGTTGTATTCCTGTTTATGTTGTATCCTACGGCCTAAGGTTTTTGTAGCTTATCCGTTACGAGTAGGTAAAAGTCAAGCACGTTTCCGCAAGTATAATTACAATAAACAATAGATGTTCGAACGACACGTCCTTCCTCGTGCGGTATCTATTTTTCTCAAGTAGATACAACGTCATACAAGCTAGTGAGCCTGAGCACCAACGGGCCTGGTTGCGAAAGAGTCACGTACATATAAAATTGCGACTAAACAAAAATCTCATTTTGTTCTACATGAGTTTGTATAGAAACGGTAAAAGTAGGCTGATCAAGGCCTACGCTAAACGCCACCGGCGAAACTTGATGTAATCACGCTCGTTTCGAACGAACGCTGCTCCGCAGAGGAAATGCTGCCGGCGATATTCAGCATGATCTGATGATGACAGCTTATTCTTGGCAGAGGGAAACTACAAGACAGATAAAAAGACAGTTTTCGTTAACGAAACAATTGAGCAGAAAAATGTCTTCATCTTTCCGTTCTTCATTTAATTCCATTGTTGTTCACTTCTAACGAAACCGTGAAAATTCCCTGCCTACTTCATCAGCGTCACGTGACAATGTTGTTTCGAATGAAGTTTTAGTTTGAACCAACTGCTCTCTATCCGAGACGGGGTGTCGCAGTTGGAAAACTGCATCTGTAACACCTTTTAGTGTGTTTAAGTGGTTGACGTCAAGTCGCTACCGCCGCGGATTCAGCTATTTACGGCTTGTACGACGCTGTCTGCGAAATTTGACAACAGTATCCAAATGTTAGAGGTTACCATTTGGGTTTGATGAGGACCATTAGGAGTTCAGCTTTTGAATGCAGCAGGCCTATAAACAGCTCGGAGATTGGCTGCACTCTCAAGATTGTCGTTTCAGCAGGTGCCTTGGATTCATGAGGCTTTCGTTTAGTGGATTAAGTATCATCACACGTCAGTGTTCTTGCACTATAAGCAACAGATGATATCCCATTGACCTGTCGAAGGTGAGAAAGGACTGTACTAGATAGCAACAAAGAATTAAAAAAAAAAAACAACTTTCCGGTCAGGAAGTGAGTCTACGAATCTCCAAGATAGCGAAGACGTTCTTGTTTGGTGTATTGAAGGCGTACTTGACTGAAAACAGAACTTATACAGGATTTTAATCATGAGTATCCCGTGTAAATCAGCGTCTAGTGTATAGCAAAATCTAAGCTTTAAGCATGACATCGCACGCGACTTGTACGGTGATTGCCCGCGCATTGACGCTAGCCCGTTGTTCTCGTATTGCCCGCGCGCTTAAGTTTACGCTTTGTCTCTGTAACAGTTCTTCAACGTAGCCCGATCAGAACCGCTCGAGATTTAATCATGAGAGATGTTGCTTAAGCTACCTGGATTTTCTCCAGCAGAACCATACGGTGGCAAACTAATTCATGGTTGAAATGGTACAAAACACTATATAAAAAAAAGTCAGACGCCAGTTAAAATACGTTTTCGATCGTAGCAAACAATTCATTTTTATAATATTGCACGTCAGATGGTAACAGGCACTGGCCTAGCGAATCCAGTATTGTTCCTGAACCTACGTCGTGATTGCTAAAATGTACTCTGTTGTTTAGTGATTGGCATCGCTGCGGAAGTCCAGTTTTACAAATAATATACAAATACAGCCATTGCAATTATACAAGATTTCGTCTTTCTTCACTAAAGATGTCTCTCTAAAAATATTGCATGTAACGAACTCTTCATTTAGCGTCGTCGCATGAATCCCACCTGTGCGCGTGGCACGTCAGTGCGTAACCTAGTTGGATGATAGCCTTAGAGATACGCCGTGGCCTGGATTCGCACCCGGGCGTAGGTAGACACGTGGTCCAGTTCGTTCTAGGAGTCAACCGTCCGATGTCTAGCGGCGATACTGGCAATAAACACGATCATATCGACAGCAGCTCGACCATCTACTAGGTTGAAAAGCATGTACTAAACATTCTATGACTTCGTTTTGCAAAATTGCGCTTCAGCTGGCTCAACTGTAAACAATTTTTTCTTAGTCAAGGCTAGTATTTTTAAAACCCTCTAATAAAAGATTTATTATTGAGTGATTAGTGATTCCTCTAGGCGTATTTCACAGAGTTCGTTAGACAACGTTTAAGTAAAAGTGTTTCCGTTTTTAAAGCGCAACCTATCACTCTCATAGACCACTATCGAACGTGTCAATAAAGCTTCAAACGATACGTAAATGTAATTAACAAAAAAACAGCTAAATTGGAACCGTCACCTTAGCTCGACTGGCGTATTTCACACTTCGTTACAACTGAATAAGGTAAAAACTAAGAAAAGTCAAACTGATTTTAGTCTTATAGGAGCCGGAATTTTGCTTCTCGATGGTAAGCATACACTTTTAATGAAAAATTTAATTATTTTCATGTGAATTTAACCGTAACATTTCATGGTTAGATATATTTATTAATTCGTCAGTGTGTGGAAATAATCGTAGGTTATAAAGGCGAAAAAAGAATGCCAATTGCATTCATACCTGAGACTAGATTTAAAAGGCTAAGATGTTTTCAAATGGTCCAAATCTGGTTTTACATTCACCTTCGACGTCGCATTATAATTTAGGTCTGGTCCTACTGGTAGACATGGTTTTATCGTGAGATTGTTCGTATGCGGCATAACATAATTATGGCCCATGTTGTTCGACTTTGGCATCAAAGCTCTTAAGCCCAGCCCTTTTCGTTTGATTAGGGATGAGTGCTGCTCCGCAAAAGGACACATCGGAACGTACCGTCACGAAGTTGTTGCCTAAAACAGGTTGTTTAACCAGAGCAGAGCTGAATACTACAAGAGAGAGGAAGAACAGGGTGTCGACCTAAATACCTAATTCTAATACGATGTTTAACCCAGGTTATTAAAGAACAGTCTGCTTCAGTGTCGATATCTTCAAAATAAGCGAATGTAATAGGTCTTCATGGACGAACCATGCAGATGCGAGTATCATGACCAACTGAGGCATTATCTAATATATGCGTCTATCTAATTACATTTTCTGGCCATAAAACGACCACGCTATAGGACAGACACACCTATGCGGGGGTAAGCATCTTCCAGACATGTCTTTACTGCGTGCTGATGGACGTAAATCCACCGCTGATTTTCCCGGCCTACTAGCAATGTCTGGTGGCCTTGTGTTCTATATCGCCTATTTCACCCGATGCGCATAGTGCGCAAGTACTCACGTCCGTCTTACCAATCTTTGCTACACATGTTTAAAACAGTCCGTGTCCTGCCAGCATCTATGATAAATGGTCCAGCACCTCACTATAGATCGAGATCTGGTATCATTTTTCTCGTACATTTCTATCTTACTAGGCAGCATTTTTATGTCTTTCCAAAACAATAAGCAGACTGCTACGATTCTTTGATTTAACACGGTAACAGCTTTAAGAAATCTATGGTGAAACATATCACAAAAACTCACAAATCTCAAATCAGCCGAAAATCATCAGACTAATAAAACGTGTAAAAACATTCGTAAGACAAAAAAATTCGGACAGTTCGTGTGTTAAGTGTTCTTTGAGACTCGAAAATGATGGGAGTTGGGAAAAGCTTCGTAGGTTAGGGATGATCTGGTCAGCAGATGCATTGCACACTTACGTCCTCACTGCTGCTCCTAAGTTGAGGACCTTTTTCTAGGCTTCGATTTGAATCACCATATATATATATATATGGTTTTTCTTTTATGCTTTGAAATATTGCACTAGGTTAGAGCATAAGTAATAGCGGTCTTTTTTAGATATTCCCCCCACTGATTTACCTTTATATGTTATTTAAATAGGCTGCCTTTTTTCATGGGCCCGTTGAAGATTCCTGTGCATTCCTGAACATTATTTTACCTCGAGTCCGAGCTCCGATAATAGATGTTTCTGGTTATATATGAATGAGTTTTTAAAATGTACTCTATTTCATCTGTTGTTAAGATTAAAAACTGTTGAAAAATGCCAGGTTACATATGTACTGTGTACCTTGAGCTTCAGAGGACTGCCCAACGATGATATACAAACCTCAATAATGTCATTATGGAACGTAGTGATACGTTCCACCCCAGTCGGCCGCTCAAGGTCTATGAGAATGGCCTAAAAGGACCTTCAAAGAACATTGGCTTGCAAAAGAGACTCGTCAACTGGCCGAGAACATTACTATTATTGATGCTTATTTTAGTTTTTTTTCGAAAATTACCGTAATTTCGTACAGCATTTTTAGCTAAAATCTGTACCTCTTAGTTATTTTTTTGCCAGTTCCACCCATATTGTTTTTACGATACGTTGTTATTATTATTATTATATGGTTCTAGTTTGTATTATAATTTGACTTTTGCGAGAACTAAAAGATCTCAGCGCCAATAATTCGACAATCGACAAAACTACTCGTGGCAGAAAATGGTGCTTTGGCGGAAAATTTGAAATTTGCGTAATGCGAGAACGGTGCGTAGGACCAAATCTCCGAAAATGTAAAGGAGTGTTTTTATAATTTTTCTATGCACAAATCGAAACACGCGCTAAGCTTGCAGCTTGTTGACGAGGGACCTCTGCTCACCCCCAGCAAAAACAGGTAGTGAGAAACATTGGTGGCGACGAAATTCGCATCAAATCGTTGTGTTGTCATTTGGTATTTCTATACATATAAATTTTTTTTAAATTTTGCTTCGTACATAAATAACAACAGTATATATATTTAGCATACTATATTTATTAATGTATTCAATAAGTAAATATGTTTCCTCCGGGTGAATTACTAGCTTCGTTAAAATGATATTTCCACAAAAATAATTAGAAATTAATGGTTATTTAAAAAAGTGGGTCAGTATTCATGTGCCTGTCTACAACTGCTGATGATATGTATGAAGCGTACGTTGGAGACCCAAAGCGAACCCAATCGCCGAACAGATAAACTGTGCTCGGGGCCAATGCCAATTGACAGTCCCTAACGTAGAACTTAAAAAGTACACACATGATATAGTGGTATTGTTTGAATAATAGCACCGGATAGTCTAATTATTGCTACTCCCTTTCTTTTTATCAGTGTGTGTACGTGTGTGTACGTGTGTGTTACCGTTGATGCTACAACAAGTTTTGATATGAAGTTTTACCTGAATAGAGGCCTCTAATAAATTTCACATGTTGGTAAGATGTTGACGGAAAATGTTTTCCTTTCGTCGCTGTTTGTGAACCCGTTACAGTACCATTACCAGAAAATAGTGGATAACGTATTTGTAGAAGTCAACTTCAGGGTGTGGCGGAAATTTGGGATTAATAGCACAATCGGTTATATTGCTTATGAAGTCGTATAGCCCTCCCTGAGAAAAGACATACGTATCGCCGCGAAATTTATGTTGATATTGAATGCCAGGGGCCAACAGATAGGACTTCATAATTCTCGAATAGTTTTGAATCTGAAATGAGAGAAAATTTCACACACGGAAAATAATATGATATCAATGATTGCATCCGCCGTGTGACGTTATGTATATATATGTGTGTATATATATATGTATATGTATATATATATTTATACATATATGTATATATATATATATATATATATATATACATATATATATATATATATATATATATATACGAATGTCCAAGCGCGATACTGAACGTCAAAGCAATTCACTAGGTTCGTACCGCAATTAGAGGGTAGTTAGTTAAGTTTATACTAGTTAGTATTAGTTTACATAGAATTACGGCTGTTTGGTAAAAATGTATTTATATCAAGTGCTACATTCACCAAAAGGTATTAACGAACCCTATCGTAAGGTGTATTCGCAGGTATCCTTAGTCCACCATCATCAGCAATTATGGCGTAAACTATAGTTGCATCAAAGCAGAGAAGTTTTGCCAGTTTCTCTATTGCTAACACATAACAAAAAGCACATGATAATAATGATGAGTGGCAAAAACACGGTATTCATTTTTATTCGAATAGAAATTAACGTTGTCAGAATAACTGCAGCAAAGTTCACCTTCAAATGCCAGTTCTTACCTAGGTTTTACATAGATTGTGCTTCTTCACTTCTATCAAATGAAAATAATAACATGTGTATTTTTTTTTCCTTGTTATACCATCTCTCTAGGCTGCCAATAGCCTGATTAGTTATTTTGTTTATACAAAGCTTCATTGTTTTGAAAATTTGGCCAAAGTACTCCTAGTAGTCACGTTAGTGTCTCTAGCTACTCGGGTTTTCAACAATCAGACTATATGTTCAGCTCTTCCCACTTACCATAAGCGGGCACACCGTATCTGGTGGCGAATTCGATGATATTTCGTGGCCCACAGCGGTTAAATATGCTCGTGGCAAAGGCCTGTGCTCGGACAGCTTCGACTGGATTAAATGGGCGGAAAGGTTTACATACGGAAAATTTACCCTGGTAGTATTTCGAATTAAGATCGATAGCCGTTGGTTTACGTGCACGTCGTTTTTCTAAGTGAGCACTCAACATGGCAATGACCAGTTGCGTCAAAATGAAGAAAAGCAACGGTAACTTCATTATTTCGATTGCGAATCTTGTCGAGCTTGAATGCCGCTCAAAGTGATCATCTTCGCCATGCGATCTGTCCCTTTTATAGCAAACGGAATAAATTTATTTTTCGTTTGGCCATCTGAATACACAATATAAAATTTTCAAATCGCAATAAAGGCTTCTCTAGATTGATTAAGCTCAGTAAGTTTTCCGGCCGAAACTGTAGAAGTAATCTAGTATATATATTTCAATGAATAATATATGAAACAAAAGAAAAATTATATTTACGGAGAATAGTTGCGGCTAGGCTGGTTTCATCGGGACGAAACTAAGCCGATCGTTTGCCCCGGACCCACAACAAGCCTGTATTGGATTGGATGTTCAAATACCTTTTTGTTTGTTCTACCCACATATCGCTGTCAACACGTCGATAGGGGGATTTTTTTTCTGTAAAATATCCCTATTTAAAAATGTCGCAGATCGTATTTGTGAAACTAAGCGTTAGGAAACTAGAGGGGCCTTCGGCTAAGTTAAAGTGAGTCAGTATCGTTCGTCGCACGTGATACGGCGTAAATTTAGGAGAGATGGGCCTTATCCTTAGCTCTAGGTTCAATATCTCTACACACGATTCATTGGTTTGTGTTTACTTTGTAGGTCCTTTCCCCGAATAATCAAATAGAAATAGAGATGAGATAGATGGTAGATTAACCTGCATTCCTTCATATAGTTGTTTTATAAGTCATCTTTTAGTTGCAACCTGATTAAATGTAATTGTTTTCAAGCTTAAATGCTGCAAACGGTGAAAGTTATATGGGTTAATAACTGATTCGTCCGAGACGGAAGATGAACAGTCGACTTTTTCCCTCTCGAGGTCCTCCGAAGTCACGTTTGCTGTTCATTTGAGCGATATAGTTTCAGGATGGGGCGCGGTGCACCCATGAAATACGAACGTTTACATCCGAACAAAGTCCGATGTGTCGACCTAACGGAATAGCTTGTACACTATGAACCTACTTTCGTTGAATTAATCATATCCAGTTGGTGTAAAAAAGTTGGTGAATTCTCAACTTAACAATGACAAGTTTCGTCGTGGGCAAGAGGAGCAGCCAAAGTTTCATGGCAACTTCAGATCAGAACCCGTTAAGATTACTTTCGAGAAAAAATAAAGAATGCAGAATGTAAATTTCCGACGCAGATTTTTCCAAGATACGAAATTTAATTCGACTTTTTCTAACTACTGGCTTGTCGAAAGACTACCGACTGATTCTCTACCTAAATGCCCTAAAGTCACATGTCTCAGACAATATGAATCGCGCCAAGTTTAGTGTCATTTAAAATGATAATTTGCTAGAAGTAAATGTGTTAGGATGCCTTTAATAAAATCTCTTGAAGATGAAGGCAATGTTTGTCAAAAATTGCTGCACACTGCACAGAGGCGCAAACGCTGCCCGGATCTATAAAAAATGTGTGCTGTTTATGATTAATATACGTTATTGAAAGAGTCGGCCCAAAGATGGTTCTGTCGCATTCGTTCTATATATTTCAACGCGAAAGATGCCCCCCATAGCGATCGATCGGTTACGGAAGAAGTTGATGAACTTCTTACGGCAGTTAAAGAACACTGGCACGTTAGCAGCCGTAATCCTTGGAGCTAAGGATCCATCATAGAACAGCTTTAAGCCATTTGAAAAAGATGGTTAGAGAAAAAGACTACTCGATATGTTTGGGTGTCACACGAATTGATGCAAAAAAAATTTACTCGATCGTATCCTGCGAAACTTTATAGAAACACAACGAAATCGAGCTGAAATTACTGAAACAATTGATCACAGACAATGAAAAGTCGATCACGAACGGCAATGAAGTGGAAAAAAAATTGCACAGCTTGTGACAGAAACCACGACGACGTTAAGTAACGATGAAACTGTATGTTTAACTGGATTGACAAGCAAGTGTTCCTTATAAGTTATTTTTGCCTGAAAAAAAAACGTGGAACTTACGTGAACCTTCATTGTGAACGACTAACAAGAAATCATTGAAAGAATTCAACCAGGACTATGAAGAGAAAACTGACATCGACTATGACAGTGTCGGACCATATCGATCCTTAGCTGTCCTGTAAAAAATTAAGAAAGCTTGAACGGAAAACGCCGATGCATTTGTCGTTCTAGCTCGGACATTGCACTACCAGACTATCTTTTGTTTTTTGGTCACTGTTTCTAATAGTGTAATTTTAATTTCAGCGAAGGGATGAAAAATCACTGGTTACAAATTTTCGTCCAGAAACCGCGGAGGTTTTACCGTGATGGTGCGATCATTGTGCTACCAGACATATGGTATTTGCTTGCTTTTGACAATTTAATATGGTACTTGGAACTCAAGTCGATCTGCTAGAAAATTTAGCATAATACGAAATTATAGTGATACAACTTGAGCGGGATGTCTTTATCTTTCCGTGGATAGTTGTTCCGAATAAATGTATGTCTATCCAGATTAAAATATGACAGTGTTCAGTACTTTTTATGGGCCTACGGTGATACGGCATAAACTTCTTGGCCGCTTTTGACGTTACAACGTCTTATGGCGGTAAATCGGAGCTGGTGTTAAATAGAGCTCGTCCCGATGGAACTTGGCCACTTTTTTCACGAAGCTATAGCTACAGAGAAGACTTAATACTGTCTTATTAGCTATGCCAGGCTGATAGAAGACGTCACTGTCATAGTGGGAGCGTTTTTAAAGCGCGACAAGTAGACATTTGCATTTTTTGTTAAACATCTGTGTCTTGAAACAACAGTAAATTAAGCTACTTTTGTACTACTCTCCCGGCACGCGATGATTTCAGATTTCAGATACGTAATTATCTATCATGTTTGAACGGTAACTTGCTATATAGAACGATTCTATAGTAACGAAATATGGCCTTGTGTTCATGTGTCTACACGGTAACATTAGGATGGCAAAACGATTCGGTCAAAGATGAATTTGACAAATTTGAATTTTCAGAATTGCTTGAAAAATCCGATTTCAAAACTTCAAAGGCAGATACTATAGAAATATAGAACAAATAATCTGAAGTTCGTTAGATGTTCTCTTCTTTATTGTCTATGCATTGAAGCCAGCGTTTCGGAAACTTCTCGACAATTGTGTACTTGATATCTGCATTTGTAGACCTAGTTAGGTTGTCAATGGTAAACGATGCTACACGATTTACCATCCTCTTTAGAGCACGGAATCAATCGAAACGTTTTGCGGTATCATCGAATGCGTTACCACGCTATATGCTATCGATTGTCATCACTCTCTTTCGAGATATCAGCCAATATTGACGGAAATCGTCTTCTACTTGCTCTAGACACAGGTACTTTTCTTGTTTATCATCATTTTTTTTGTTACAGTTTGGAAATAAAACGTATCTAGGGGTCCTGTATTGAGTGGACAGGGAAAGCCTTGTGCATGCTCTGTTTTGCTTAAAAGCTTGGGCAATCAAAGCAATTTGTACCTGCTTTTGAGGTCCTGAAGCGCAGTTATCTTTTCCATGGTTATCAGCATCCCAATTTAAAATGGAATCGTGATCTCTTGCTTCTTTAAAGGCCTTCTAACTAAGTATTTTCAATGGAGTCCATTTAAATTAATTATTCTTTAATGACGTGGAAGTAACCGCTAGTATCGAATAACCAATAGGTTTAGGTCCCCGTCTGCTAGTGGAATGCGCTTTAGAAGTTACCTACACTTTCCCATTCGCTAATTATTTCCGGTCAGAGTAATATTTTATAGTACTTCGATTTAATTGTGGATAGTCGATGTCTTTTTTGGGACGACGGTTCTTCTCTTAAAAGCCTAGTACGATAAGGACAAGCTCTGCCTAGTGAACGAGGACGACCTGCAAGGCTATCGAGGAGATGTTATGAGCGAATAACCGACTTAGAACGGTCTTCGCATTTTGCAGCCCTTGCTTCATATATAGTTATATATTATATCAATATAAGCCGTTAAATAAGCGTACATACTATTAAATAGAATCTGAATAGATACGCTTTTGAACTTACTGAACTACATTGCTTAAAGTTATGATATTCACTCGCATCAGTCATCTCACAGAGATGATACAGAATTCATCAAATAAAGTTAACACTGTTGACTGGTCCGATGGCGAGGGGAGTAAAGGCTGGACTCGCGGACCGTTCCCTTAGTATCTCTGTGTGCGCGTGTTCTATGGAGGTTGTATGCGAGCATTGGATAGGCAAATGAGTGACGGTTTTTCACTAGCTCCATTGAAATTCTATTGCTTCGAAAATCGTAAATAAATGATAAACAAATTTAGGAAAAACTATTCAATAGGAAATCTAAGGATGAGGGGTATGTTTGATGCTGAGAGTAAGTACAATTGCCACATAAACGGGCACCGGCATTTTACGTATTTTTACTATTTTATTTAGCATTTTAATAAGCATACAATTCTTAGTGGCAATTACAGGCATAAACCTGTTCTTCTGAGTAATTACGAAGTAATTACGTACTCTAGTTACTACTCTGCTCATTTTCGTATGTATTACTATCTACAGTTGATTTTACGCTGAGGTTTTTCCTGAACATAAATCTCCCGATGAGCTTAACTTTGTAATCGCATTAGTTAGATATGGGTAGACGATGTTTTGTTTTTTGCTCCCTCGCCTTTCTCCGGCGAGGTAGCCGTGCTAGAAAATAGTTGATATCATATCTGTGGAAGTCAATTTCCGGACGCAGGAAAATGGAAAGTTCTGCCTAAAAACGCATTTTGTTAAGAAATCATATAGCTAGTAATTTGCCGCAGAACATAGCTTTATGACTAGGCTGGCCAATGCTAACAGATAGATGTCATCTAAAATAGATGAAAATTGAACTTAAGAGAAAGAAAGCGACGCAGCTTATTCCAGTCGGCTTATAACATTACGCCTATTTTAATCGTAAAACAAATCGTTATGTGCCGTTAACCAAATCTTTATTAATTATTGATATATTACATATCATACTCACATTACATTTATTACTATTATTATTATATAAATATTTATCAATGT